CCAGGACCCTCCTGCAGTGTGCCTTAGCCTGGATTTTTTCTTGCTTTTATAACAGGTTTGGGGCAGGGGCGAGGGCGCTGGAGAAACTGTTGATAATATTCTCACCTCTGACTTCTCAGCTTAAAAATGCAAATCCTTAGGCCATTATCCTGTGGTGGAGGAGATATCCTCCTGAGTATGCTGTAAAGCCTGCCTCTGTTCTCAGGGTGCCCTGTAGTGCAGAGGTTGGATATACGTTTTATGACTATTTTTTCTGCTTGCTTCATTGCTATATTTTCTGCTCTCTCACAGCTTGATGAGTAAACCTTCTGTTGTATAATACGACTATATAGCACACGACTAAAGCTTTGCACTGGATCCCCAGTGCATAAGATGGATGGGTATTTGCAGTTTTTATGACTCCAAAGTAAATACTGGTGTATAGCAGGGGTGGGCAAAATGCGGCCCGGGGGCCGGATATGGCCTGCCAGGCCATTCTATCCAGCCCATGGGGCCCCTAAAAAATTTAGAAAATTAATATTTATCTGCCTTGGGCTGCCTGTCACACGGCCCTCAATGGCTTGCCAAAACTCAGTAAGCGGCCCTCTGCCCAAAATAATTGCCAACCCCTTGGTGTATAGAAAGATCCCTAGATCTAGGTATGAGAAGTATTGTATTAGCTCTACAGTAGCTGGTCACCGGGAATTTCACTGGTTGTATTGCATATGTCCAAACTACTGCAGTGTTTTGGACGTGTAACAAGAAGGCCCGGCACCCTTACCATCCTGCTGTGGACAGATGAAGAGGAAGACCTAGGACAAGATGGACCACCAGCATCAAAAACTGGATGGGATTAAAACTGACTGATTGTACAAGGATTGCAAAAGTTGGGGAAGAATGGAGGAAAGTTATTGCTACATCAAGGGTGCCCCAATGGCCGGCGCGGCCTCAGGACTGATTTGACTTGACTTGATTACATAGGTAGAAATAATATGCGTTGAGAGGAGCCAGGTTCTTCATGAGGAAGAAAGAGTGAGTCATTTGTTGAGACATTGCTGGCTAAACTGGTTTAGACCTAAAGATGGATGAAGTGAGACCCTTTAGGAAAGTACAGCATCACCCAGGGTAGGATTTTGAAGAGCTAGACATGTCCTTTGCTCACAGTGCCCAGGGGGGAGGAAGGTTTTGGTTGTATACAGATAGATCTTCTGAGTGAGTTGTTTCGGTCTGGCAGGACGTCCTTCCAGTCCAACATCATTCATTCCACTTCTCTCCCACTTCAGATTTAAGATTGTAGGCCATGAATGTAAAGTAGGGTCTGCTGGGTTTTTAACAGCTGCAGGGTGCTGAGGCCAACTCTACTAAAATTTACTCTACCATTCGGGGTAATTCAGTTAGTTCATCTACGCACATCCCCTTCAATGTGTGTGTATGGGGGGCAGGGTGAAATACATAACAAGGCTGCTGTGTTTAGTTTTGCAAGACCCAAAGTGGCCTGTGTCTGAGATTTGCTCCGTGTGCGTGTGATCTAGGACTCCGGCAGATTAGCCAGAGGGCTTGAAAGGCATTAGGGAACAATGGGAACACTTCCAAAAGGGAACATGTCTTCTCTGCAAGAGTTTGTAAAGACTTTTTTAATAGATAGGACAGTCGATTGCCTTTTGGGAGAGTTAAGTTTCCCAGTTTGAGTTTATTGTGCCAATCATTAAAGTGTAAAGCAGAAATCTTAGTCCTCCTTTAAGTGCAAACTGCAGTACAGGTCTATCTAGTCTCTACAGATGTGTCTCCTTCTCTTTTCTCTCTGTCTGATGAAATAGTTTCCTTCTGGGAAGCAACAGACTTCTGAGTTCAAGGCTGATTGAAAAACCTTTATGGCATTTGTATCATCTCAGTCTGATTCGGTTTATGAGAGGGTTACTTGGCATTTGCTTTCATTTGACTCCTAGTTCTTTTTTCTTCTTTGTGGGTACTAAGTTGTATGCCTGCTTATTGGTATTTATCCTGTCTGGTTGGTGGGTGTTGAAGGCTCCTTACTGCTTTCTGTAAATTATGTTGTCTTGAACTGCAGACCCAGAATAGAGGAAATGCAAACTAAGATACTTTGCAGATATTTTGAATTTTTGCAGCTGGGGTTGGCTGCTTTACACAAACTCTCTTGATGAATCTACTGTACTGTCTATGCATGGCATAGGTTTTGCTTTTCTATTTGGGACAAACTGGAATTGGTCTTAACCTTCATAGTGATATGTCGCAGAGCACCTCAGTGCCTGCTCCTAGGGAGTAGAAACTGCCAGGGAGAGAGAGCCCTGGCAGGACATAACGAGCCCAGATGAGGGTTGCCAGGGTAAGGGGCACAGCTGCGGGTTGCCGGGGCAACTAAGGAGAGCCAGCTGCCTGTAGGAGGCAGGGCCTGGCCCTTATAAAGCCCAGGGCTGAGACCAGGCTGGCAGTTCCCTGCCAGCAACCGGAGAGGCAGGAGCTCCCTCGGCCGAGATATGGGAAGAAGCCTGACTTGCAAGTACAGCTCACTATAGCCCTGAGAGGATTGGGCACTATGGTTTAGCCAGGAGGCTTTATGTTTGCGTTGCAGCCAGGAGGCTCGAGTTTATGTTCGGCTTACATATTAGACCGGAGGCTTGGGTGAGGCTGTAAGGGTTGGAGGAGGCCTCATAGGGACCCCAGAGGTGTGGGGCCCCTGAGCGCAACCAGTGGGTTGCGGGCGGGGAACAGACCCCGGGTTGTATGCGGGGTACGTAGACCCCAGCCCCAGAGTGGGGCAGTATTGAGAAGCCCTTGGTGGGCACGGCAAGCCCCAAAGAGGGGGAGTGCCATATTGGTTTATTGAGAAGCCCGAGGTGGGCACAGCGAGCCCCCGAAGAGGGGGAGCGCCATTGTAGAGAGAGCCCGGGAAGCGGGCGTGCAGACACACCAACGTCTGTTATATCAGCGAGGCTTGGGGCGTGGTATTAGGGGCTGGTAGGGGGCCCGCCTAGCCCAAAA